CATGATAGGTGCCTACTGGTTTCATGCCTCTTGGCAAGGGACTGCAGTGGCCATAGGGGCACCATTGCTCACTTACACCGCTGCACATGTGCCCTGACCCAGCATACCCTGTGGCCCCAGCCTTCCCAGCCCTGGCTACTGGAGCTAGGTGAGGTGCTGCTGGAGCCCAGGCTGCATATGCAGGTGTCCACACTGCTGTCACCCAGGCCCTGAGAATCATTTTTAGGTAAAAATAATCATACAAATAAAGATTCCTTAAAGATGTCTCAGATGTTAAGAGACCTAGATTTGAGCACGTCTGTGAAAATACTGTAGCCTGGAATTCAAACATGAGCAGTATCTGCAGGAGCACAATCTCCGTGGTGGATTCTGGAGAGACACATGGCGTTAAATGAGAGTGTGATGTTTACAGATGTCACAAGGAGGCAGATCATTTTTCTGCTCCTCAAGACAGTTGTTTCGCCAGCCTTCTCTTTACAGCTGGCAATCATACACCCATTGTGGTTTAAAGAAAATGTTAACAGTGAATTAAAACAGCTGCACGCCAAATGGCACTGGGGTCAGAATTGTGGTGCACTTCATTTCTGTCCTCATTTCTCTATCCCTGCCAGACAGTTGTCATTTCTGAGTTAGTAGGACGTGTAATTCTGTATTACTTTACTATGATGTTACCTTAACAATATTTTGACAGAGTTTCAGAGTTATTACATGTGGCACTGGTTACCATAACATTACCCTTCACAGGCATAACTATCACAAATATTAAGATAGCTGACAATTTTCAGCAGAGCAGAGATTTCAGGGAAATTATGGAACCTTCATGTGCTAGAACTGGAAGGAGCCTTTGAGGATTACAGTGGTCCTCCCTCCCTCATTTGTGGTTTTAGTTGTAGTTTCAGTCAACTGTGATTCAAAAATATTAAATGGAAAAGTCCAGAAATATACTTTTTTGGGGTTTTTTTGAGACAGGGTGTCACTATGAAGATCAGACTGGTCTTGAACTCACTATAACCCAGGCTGGCCTCAAACTCACAGTGATCCTCCTGCCTCAGCCTATTGAGTCCTGGAATTACAGGCATGTGCTATCATGCCCAGCTAGAAATACACACTTTATAAATTTATACTCGGGTTTGTTTTTTTTTTTATCGGTACCGGGGATCGAACTCATGACCACACACTTGCAAGGCAGGCGCTTATGCCACTGAGCTAAATTCCCAGCCTCACAATTTATATAAATTTCAAATTCTAAATGCCAGGGAAGTGAATCAGCCCTTTTGTCCCAGTTATCCATGTTATATGTGCTGCCTACCTGTTGATCCCTTAGCCTTTTGAGTAATCTGATCAATTCTCTTGGTATTTAGGGTTTGGTGCTATCCAAGGTTCCAGGTATCCTTGAATGTCTGGAGGAGAATTTATTTTGGTTGCTGGAGAGGGTACTGTACTTTAGTCCTTTCATTTAACATGGGTTAATTTGTCTACCTTTGAAGACTACAGACTATCCCAAACAAGTAACAGTGGTTTCTGGAAAGATTTTCATCGGTAGTATTACTTTATACAGTGTGCAACAGAGACCCTGGGAGGGATTTTTCATTGATTTCAACTTTAGTATATCCTACTTGTGTTCTGATTTTTTAATTTTTTTGATATAAGATTTTGCTATGCAGTTCAGACTGGCCTTGAACTCATTTCATAGACTCAGACTGGTCTTCAACTTGCAGTGATCCTCCTCCCTCAGCCTCTATAGGGTTGGGATTACAGATGTGTGCTACCATGCCTGGCTTTTTTTTTTTAACTAAACCTTCAGGTAGAAAAATATCTTATTATCCTTTTAGAAATAGAATGTACAAGTAGTACATTCTTAGGATATGGCTGTTGTGATATTGTGGAAATACATATTTTGTCTTTAACCATTGTTCTTATAGAGCTTCTAAAACCCTTGTACAAATAAATCCTCAACTTACGAACATTTGGGGTGTTAACTTTCAAATACAAATGAACATCGCATTACGAACATTTGTAGATGAAAACAAATAGTGGAGGTAGCTCACGTGTCATTTAAGGTAATTATAAATGTAAAAATAGTTATTTTTGTGTGTACTTGGTTTGTTATACTTTACAGTGTATATTTGTGTCAAAGGTACATAAGACTTATTTTATTGAACTTTATGAGTGATTTCAACTTACTTAACTCCTGGAATGGAACTCGTTCATATGTATAATTTCCTGAATAATAGGAGCCCTGGAAAAATTTTATTCTGCTGCTTGGTCTTTGATAACAGTTCCTGTGACTCTTGTGGGTTCATGGATGCCTCTGGAGGGGGCCAGTAGCCAGCCACGCGGCCGGAGGCTGGAACTTCGGCTTCCAGTGTGTGAAGGGTGAAAGTTGAGGTGCTCAGCACAGTCAGTAGTGTATCACGCTGTGTAGTGAAGTCTCCATAAAACCCCAGAAGGACGTGGTTCACAGGAGTGTGGATAGCTGAACACGTGACAGTTCCTGGAGAATGGTGCGACCCAGAGGGCCTGGAAGTTCCCTTTCCCCATGTCCTGCCCTGCCCACCTCTTCATGCAGCTGTCTGTATCTATCTGTGGTAAAAACCCTTTATTAGTAAACTAGTAAATGTCCCTGGAGTATTTTTCTGAGTTCTGTGAGACAGTCTAGCAAATTAAAGGAGGGGGTTTGTGGGAACCCAGATTTATCCCCAGGATGTCAGAAGTGTAGATGACAAGATACTACTTGCCATTGGTGTCTGAAGTGAGCGGAAGTATTGTGGCCTCCACTTTGTGATATTTCACACCCTGGAGAATCACTTCCAGAATCTACAATCAGGTGTTGTATTGAGTGAGACAGGAGAGCCATGGATACAGTGTGGTTTTTTCTGTTTCTCAGAGCTGCATTAAATCTTCCCTTACGTGGAAGGCTTCTGAGACATTCCTGTCTGTAAGGATGGGTTAGCAGGTGATGATGTATGGCACATAAGGCCCTACGGATCTTCCTCCCCAAGACCACTCAACTGAGAGGGCAAGCAGGGTAAAGGTTAGAGTTAGGATGAAGAATCACCCAGAAGGCTCATAAAGTCATCTCTCAGAAGTACCAGAATGTATTGTGAATTACCTCATCCAAAAGAGGGACTCTGCTACTGGTATCACTGGAAACCAACGATATAGCACTAGTGTGCAGAACAGGGAAGAGGGCTAAGCACAGTGGTGCCCACCTGTAATCCTGGCTTCTCAGGAGGCTGAGGCAGGAGGATAGTAAGTTTGAGGCCAGCCAGGGCTACATAGTGAGATCTTATTTGGAAAGGAAGAAAAAAAAAAAAGACTGGACATGTAGTTCAGTGGTAGAGCACCTCAGGGTTTGATTTCTAGTACTGTACCACAAAAGAAAGAAAATGGGAGATGACAAATTCTTAAAAGAGACACGGCACACCTTTTGTCCCCAGCCCTGGCTGTAGCCAGCGTGGCAATGTCCAGTTCAAAAGGTTTAGTTGCAAACTCTACAAGTTGCATGAAGCCTGGGTTCACTCCCACCCCTGAAGGCAAATCAAACCAGCCAAACCCCAACAAAGTGCAAGCTTCAGCTACTTGTAATTCAGGTCAGTTTAGCACGAATGGCCCTTGTACATCCTGCACCATCTCCAGGAGATGTTCCCCCTCCTTCCAGTTTTTTCTCTTCATCATCAGTACATAATTCATAGAATCCGTCACCTGGGTGCCTGCGGGGAGTGCTCTGGTCTTCTCCCCTCCTTCATTCCTTCAGCCCAGGGATTCCAGTCTCCTGAGCAGTTCTGTTTTTCAGTCCTTTAATCCTTGCATTTGTTTTTTCCTTACATTAGAGGTTAGAAATGCAATTGCCTACAGAAATTATGGATGAGTCCTAATGTTAAAGACTGTAACAAGTTGGAAAGTCCCCAGCTACAGGGGACAGCTGTTTCTTGGTTCTAGTTATTGCCATGGTGGCATATGGATCCCTCCTTGCCAGCTCTAAGATGTTTCCAGAGGATTTGGAATCTGAGAGTTTAGTGGGTACTGAATGAAATTGCAACAGAGTTTACATGTTGCCATTTTCCTGGTGCAGAATTTGAAACCTCTGCTCCAGATCTTAAGTAAGTTTGAAGCTCAGTTATCCATTGTTAAGTATTTGATAAGATAAAGGAGGCATCTCTGGTCTCCTATCAGTTATCAGAATTGCTTTCTGGTCAGTTGCAATTCTTTGACATCTTTCTTGAAAAGTTACATGTCATTTCTGAATGAAAGCAATGAGAAAAAAATAATATTTTGGTTTGTGTATGCCTGGTGTTTTTCCTCCCTGAAAGGCTTTCACAAAAAGTCTTAAAATTGAGGACTAAAAATCTGCTTACTGAGGGATATGATTGTGCACGATAAAGACTGGTCTACAGAGCCCTGGGGCCTCAAAGTTTTTGTTTTAAAAAAAAAAAAGTGCTATACCGGGCAATGTGGTAACCCTGCCTGTAACCCTCACACTCAGGAAGCTGAGACATAAAGATTGCTGGGACTTGGAGACCAGTGTGGGCTACATGGTGAGTCAAGACCAACCTGGACTACGTAGCGAGACCCTGGACCCTGCTGAAAAAACAACAGCAAAAACAAGGGCTGCAACTCACACTTTTTACAAAGACACTCTTCTGTGTAATTCAGGCTGGTCTTGGGCTCAGTGTGCACTCCAGACTGGCCTGAAAATCCGGGCAGTCTTCATGCCTCAGCCTCCTGAGTGTACTGCCATCCCCTGTTGCCAAGGCTGGTTTTGAACTTGTGATCTTGGAGGCCTCAGGCCCTCAGAGTTCTGGGCTGGCAGGTATGGGACCCATACCCAATTCTGTGTATCATGATCGTAAAGTTGTTGGGCAAGATATTTATGTGACTTTATCATCATGTTAGAGAAAGGGATTTTGTTTTCCAGCTTTTAGATGGAACAGATAGAATATTTAAAATAGGTCTAAAATGTTTCTTATCCCCCTCTTTCTTTTTTAAATTTTTTTTAGGTTTTCAAAACAAAAATAGAGTTGCCATCTTAGCAGAGCTGGACAAAGAAAAAAGAAAATTACTTATGCAGAACCAGTCTTCAACAAATCATCCAGGAGCTAGGTATTAACTGTTACTTTCTGGTGCTCTTATTAGCCATATATTTCAACATAATATGCTGGTAACACTCTTTGGAGGTCTCCTTTCACTATTAGGACAAGCTTAACATTTTACAATGTTTTCCATGGCCAGTACTCTACTGACATTGAGAGTCTATTAATTCTGTGATACCATGTGCCACCTTTCATCAGAATTGCTGTTTTCTGTAAGCTCTTTGTCTTGCAGTTTTATACTGCTAGTGCATAGCACATAGCCAAACACCCAGTAGCTGCTCTATAATCTGGTAGATAAGTACTTCTAAATTTGGTTATTTATTCATAATAGTTCAACCTATGTGGAACATGTAAATAATGCTAATAAGGATCATAATAATTGTACCTCAAATCTGTTTGAAAGTAACGGGCCTGCTAGGCTTGGTGCTGCATGCCTAAAATCCTGGAACTCAGGAGGTTGAGGCAGGAAAATCACCAGGAGTTCGAGACCAGCCTGGGCTACATAGTGAGTTCAAGGCCAGCCTGAACTCCACAGCAAGACACTGTCAAAGTGGGTAGGTGGGTGGGGGTCGGCCATCAATTATAAATATTAAAAAGATCATTTGAAATCTCAGTAAATATCATAAACTTTCTTCATATAAATTAGTGTAAGTAGTGGCAGAAAGGGAAAAAGTCTGCTTTATCCCTCTAAAGAATATATAGTGAGGGGCCGAATATTCAGTGGTCAAATATTCATGGGTGTGAGTCCCAGCATCACAAAAACAAAACAAAACATGAAAGAATGTGTCTTTGGGAGATTTATTGTATAGCTTGATGACTATAGTTAATAATGATGTGATTATACCTGAAAATTGCTAAGAGAGATCTTTAATGTTCCTACAATAAAAATAATCAGTATGTGAGGTTATGGGTATGCTAATTAGTCCCACTTAACCATTTCACAGTGTGTATAAATACCAGAACATGTTATTGTCCATCATAAATATATACCTCAATTAAAAATTATTTACCACCATTAAAATAAACCAAGATAAAGATGCGTCTGCCTTCAGCAGTGAAGTAACTGAGCTCTCCGTTCAGCATTGCTCTCTGCAGGCCCTCTCTTAATAAGGACTTCCGGGACCATGCTGAGCAGCAGCATATTGCAGCCCAACAGAAGGCGGCTTTGCAGGTAAGCAACGTGTAACTGACATTCTCTCCTTGGAGTCTCCCTGGGTCTGAGAAGCCAGCACAGTAGTTATTTTGTATTGCAGTGGAGCAGTATCAATAATAATGTTCCACATACACCAAATTGCAATGTTTTGCTGATGTTCAGTAGTGCCCAAAGGAACTGAAGGACCAATATAGCAGTAATGAAAGTATCCTTTAATGGTGTTGACATGGTCATGATTGATTTTGTGCTATACCCACCACAGGATTGCTTGTGCGCAAGAGTTTAGGATATTTGGATGGTCTAGAAAACTGAAATGGCTAGTTTTAGTAGTATATGTCATTACATTATTTGGTTTTAAATTTTTGTTTGGATTTTTTTTAATGGCCAGCTCTTTGAAGACTAATTCTTAACGTGGAATTAGAATGTGACACTTCATCAGCTCAAAAGCATACCATTCTTTAGAGTATTAAGTAGTCTATTTTCATCTTGGGTAATTGGATTCCTAGAGACCTTGGATGAGATACCAATTTTTGTTGTTGTTGACATTGCCTATGCTTTTAAACTTCAGCATCCCTGAATTGGTAGGGACATTATAAAGATGATCTCCCTTAAGAGAAGGTAAAAACAGCCTCTTTTTTTTTTTTTTATGACAGAGGAAATTTACTGGTAGTTTTCTGGTATTTGCATTCACTTTCTTTTAAAATGTTGCTTATTTTTAATCATCAATAATCAACATCTGTTCTGCCTCCCCTCTTTCCTACTAACTACCTTTCCTTCAGAAGCTCCTGCTTAGTTGACTAAAAGCAGAGTACTTTGGAACCTTTCTTGCTAGATTTCCTCCAAAGAACAAAGCAGTTCCCTTTTTGACTCATTGCTGACTGAGAAGAATCACAGAGGAGCTGCTGATGGGGATTGTAATAGAGTGCCTGGTGCAGTTTGTTGATCCGAATTCTGTGTTATTGTTTATTGTCTATCTCTTGTGTCTTTAAACAAAATGAACAGCATAAGAACTGGGTTTTAAATCACTTTGGTCTCAGCCATTCAGGAAGAATAAGTAATTGTAATGTCATGGCTGTGATTCCTTTTTTAAAACACTGTGATTCTTAATAGCTTAATTGTTTTGTTTTGTTTTTTTTTAAATCTCAGCATGCTCACGCACATTCATCTGGATACTTCATAACTCAAGACTCTGCATTTGGGAATCTTATTCTCCCCGTCTTACCACGCCTTGACCCAGAATGAAGAAAATGACTTTGTAATCTCAAAGGCCAAAGTTATTCTCACTCACTGCTGCACAAACTGACTTTCAAAATTTTGGTGGACATATATTTTTTGCTTCTTTAAGAGAAAGGAGTACATAAATGAAAGCAAAAAGAAGGGGAATCAGGATGATGGGAGCTTGGAAGCTATATTGTTTAAGGACTTGATTATGCGGCCCACAAGTATAACTATTTTGTGATGTCATTTGTCTTTTAGCTCTTAATTGAATAGTCATCTAATGGGAGGCTCTACCCTAACAAGATGGGCTGAATATACCATGTTTACAGTTGACTCTCAAGAACCATTTATAGGGGGCTGGGGATTTAGCTCAGCCGCATAAGCACCTGCCTTGCAAGCAGGCGGTCGTGAGTTCGATCCCTGGTACCAATAAAAACTGAAAAAGACAAAAAAAAAAAAAAAAAAAAAGAACCATTTATAGTACATATTAAAGAAATGAGGATTTTAAAAAATGTTAACCAATAGCTTAAATAAGAAATTCATACTTACAGCTTATAAGGATTGACATGGTATTATTTTTTTTAATTTAGGGTCAGCATATCGTGCAGAAATAGTCTTTGTGAACTCCTAACTAGTTCCCCTGTTCTTTGTTTTTCTGTTCTCCATTTTAAAAGAGAGCCAATAATAAGACTAAATTACTAACGAATCTTATTTTCTTGTATTAAAAATGCCATTATAAATGATGTAACTAAGTGCTATTAAAAACAATAAGAAATGTGGTGACCTCAAATTTTGTACATCTCTTATTTAATGGTGCTGCATAAAGGGTGTGCCTGTGTGATTTTATTGTCCTTTTAAAAAAAATGTAAACACTTAAAATTATGCAAGTTCAGGCAGCCATGGCAGTGCACACTTATAATTCCAGCCACCTGAGAGACTGACTCAGGAAGATTGCAAGTTCAAGGACAGGTTGGGCCTCTCAGTGAAACCCTGTCTCAAAATTTAAAAAAAGACTAGGGATATAGCTTAATGGTAAAATGCTTACTTAGCATGTAGAAGGCCCTGGGTTCAGTCCTGAGTACCAAAAAGAAAAAGAAAAGCAATTTGATACCCTTTTTAAATCACTTTAAATAGGAAGGAGTAGATTAAGCAATATGTTCGATATGATATATCCATAACAAAATCTAGGGTGCTTATTTACATATATAGTCCCCACTAGCCCACCCTACCTAGTCCTATAAAATTAGGACCTGATTCAAAATAAAGTCTGAATACAATGAGTTAGAGAAATCTGTAACATTTTTTTCAACATTTTCACAACCAAAATTATATTTTACACTTTATATGTGTGTGTGTGTGTGTGTGTGTTTTAAATTGGTACCGGGGATTGAACTCACGACTGCGCACTTGCAAGGCAGGCACATATGCCACTGAGCTAAATCCCCAGCCCTACTGTTTTACACTAGATTACAGATACAAGTTTTGGGGGTCCCCTCCCAAGGACTGAACTCAAGGCCACGTACATACCGAGTACATACCCAGCCCGTGTGTGTGTGTGTGTGTGTGTGTGTGTGTGTGTGATTTTTTTCCCCCCTTTTTGGGGAGTGAACTTGGGCCTTAGCCCTGAGCCTCATTCGCCAGCCCTTTTTATTTATTTACTTACTTTGGTTTTTTGAGACAGGATCTAGCTATGTAGTCCAGGCTTGTCTTAAACTCACTCTAGAGTCGAGGCTGGCTTCACACTCATAGCAGTCCTCCTTCCTCAGCCTCCTGAATGCTGGAATTACAGGTGTGCACCACTAAGTCCATTTTATTTTATTTTATTTTATTTTTTGTCTTTTTCCTTTTTATCGGTACCGGGGATCGAACTCACGACCGCCTGCTTGCGAGGCAGGTGCTTATGCCGCTGAGCTAAATCCCCAGCCCAGTCCATTTTATTTTGAGACAGAATCTCACTTAAGTTTTCTGGCATCAACTCGGCGATCCTTCTATCCATATATAAATTTTTATATCTGACCTTCCCCATTATTTCCAGTAGTAGGGCAAAATTTAAACTTAGTGTTCTAGTCTTCATTAATATTTAGTTGTCATTTCATCCCTTTTCATAATTTTTTCTCCCAAATCTTTTCACCACCCACACAGCGGGGTCATTCCCAAACTGAGTGAAACCAGGATGGAAAACTATAAGAGTTAGCTGTGCCATTTAGATTTCTTTCCTTTTTTTCTTTTCTTTTCTTTTCTTTTTTTTTTTTTGGAGGTATATGGGTTGAATCTAGAGCCCCATGTGTGCTAGGCAAGCATGCTACCATCCTGTCAGCAGCTGAGATTACAGGTGTGTGCCACCATGCTTGGTGCCATGTGGATTTTTTTTCCTCAGAATTTGAACTAGTTTATAGTAATTTCTTTGAATTAATTTCCCTCAGTTTGTGTTCCATGGATCGTGACATACTGACATAATTTCTCTATCCACTCATACTAGGGTGACGAAATTCTGATAATTTTTTCATGTGCTTCCAGCACAGATGTAACTTTTGTAATCCAAGTAAAGAGATCAGTTTAGCAGTGGTGTCTTTTCTGATTTCTTAGACTTTTAAGAATTTTAAATAGATGTTGCCAGAAACCTGCAGTTCTAGCTGGGAAGCACTTCCCACCACCTCTCTGCTTTGTATCACTTACAAATTAATTCCATGTGGATTTATTAATATCTCTCTGTCAGCACCGCACGGTGAGGAACGAGAAGCCAGGTGACACCTCCTTGTGGAAGTCATGGCACAGAGGCTTCTGCACAACTGCAGTCATTAAGCACGCCAGAAGTAGTCGTGGCACAAAGGAGGCGTTCTGGAGCACGTCGCAGGCTGGATGGGCTGGGAAATAATCCTGTGACTGTGCCTGGCAAGGGAGTGCTGCGCTGCTCTGGCAAAGTGAAGGTTGCACCATCAAAGAGAGACAGCCTAGCCATGTGCGGCACTGAGCAGGGGCATTGCTGGGGGGTGGCAGTGACTTGGCGAGTCCTGGGTAAAGGTGCAGCATCGCTTCCCGGCATTGTGTGTGGGTTTGTGTAATCTGTTAACATTCTCCGCATGCCTCAGTCTAGAATGAGAACAATGTGTGCTATGCCATGGCATGACCAGATTTTTTTGGAAACATAAAATAGAAAATGGAGTCCACTACATGTGGTAATAGGTAATTTTATTTCTTAGACCTTGTGTTCCCATGCTCTTACACATGTGTTTTACTTACTTTGTTTATCGTGTGTTGCGCTATACGTAAGTCTTTGAAGGCTGGTGTCTTTCTCTCCACTCCTTCCTCTTCTGCTTTATTCCCACATGTACTCCTCCCCTTAGAATTGGATTTGGCATTCAGTGGGTGGTCAGTACTTACTTGTTGAAGGAATGAACGAAAAAACATACGACCTGGGCAATGTGAAATGTGTTTTTTATTGTGCATCATGGCAAAGTAGATTTGGAATCCACTGCTAAATAATTCAGATGACAGTGCTCTGTATGACACTGAAATAAAAACTGGAGTGGCTCAGTAATTTCTTTCCTCTGAATAATCTGTGAACTCTCTCATTTAGTTGTCCCAGTTCTTTGCTTCATTCTGGTGGAAGAAGCCACCTTTATATGAGTCCAAGGCCCTCTCAGGCAAGGGATTTGACAAAAGCGGTCGCAGCAGGGAGAATGAAGTGCAATTTAATGCCAAGCCTAATCGGCCAGCAAGCACCAGTCCTAGTGCAGCAGCATTTGGGTCAGCGGTATTTATGCAGTGCTTTCCCGAGTCCTGGTCACTGCTGTGTGTGCAGGGTACGAGTCCGCAGTAGACACCTGCAATGTTTATTCATTTACTTAGTTGGTTTTGTGGTACTGGTAGTGAAAGCCAGGGCCTTGTGCATGCCAGATAAGCACTGTACCTCCCAAGACCTTGTGCTGGCCAGGCAGGCTCTGTGCCACTGAGCTATATCCCCAGCCCAGCCCCCCACATTGTTTTTTAAATGAGCAAATAAGGAACATGGGCCATGAGGAGGCGTAGAACATAGTCACTATCCTCAAGAATTTGACAGCAGAGGGCCGGGGATTTAGCTCAGCAGCATAAGCTCCTGCCTGGCAAGTGTGAGGTCGAGTTCGATACATGTCTGAAGATAAGGAGTCAGCGGCATACAGGAGAGCAGCATTAAGTAAAGGAAATGTCTGCATGGGGGTGGAAAAGCCATCGTGAAGCAACCGAGTCCAGTAGATAGACGTGTATAGATGGATGCTTAGGAATGAGGCTAAAATAGGCTGGGTTCATACCTCAGAAGATCTTGAATTCTAGGGCGAGTCTCGGCTCCTACCTGGGAGCCACTGACCAGTGTTGGCTGTAAGCAGGTATAGAGACAACCAATTTAGTCCTCATCAGCTCTTGGGAAAGGAGGCATTTGAGGCACTAAAACTGTACGATTAATTTCTATTGGCAACTTGAGACAGGTGGGCTCTATCTCTGTCTCCTAATTCCAGCCCCATCTACCTCTGTTACTCTTCCATTTAGATTTTGGACCTTCCTCTGAAATTTCTTTGGTCGCTTCCCTCTTTCTTTTCTTGAGGTTTCTTCTCCAAGAATCTTTCAAGGAAAAAGCCAGGGATACCCACACAGGATTAATTTTACCTTCACTTCCACTCAGTAGTGGGGTGGGTGTTCTTCCCCTCCGCCTTTCTGCAGGACTCATGTTTGAATTGGTCGTGCTCTTTCCCCAACAGCCAGTGCCCTTCAGGGGAAACTGACTCTGCCTCAACAGCAGGAGTGGTGTGCTCCAAACCAATCAGGGTAATTCCCATTGCCAGTGACTAGTTTAGGTAACTCGTGCCCAAACCAGTCAGCATATAGTATTTACCAGACCCTGGGAACTGGTTCAGGATTGGATACATTACAAAATGTATCCAGTCCTTCAGGAGAGGTTGGCTGAATTTTGGAAGCGTTCATTCTCACCTTTCTGACACATTACCAAAATGGACTTTCTAGATTTGTAAAAGGAAGCATAGTCCACAGTGTGACCACAGGGTCAACCCAGTTTTAAAAGGCACCAGCGTCAGCAGTTCAACAGAGAAATACAAAGAACCTGAGTGCTTAATGACATCCCTCAGAGCTCAAGAGTGACGTGTGAGTCAATCCTTAAGGTGTTGGCTACCTTTCCTCGGAAATGTCCAGTTATGGGAGGTAGTAAGTACTAATTGTTTCAGCTACATTAGTGTTTCTTCAGTTTTGGTCCCTTGTCACAAAAATACTCTAGTAAAGTGTCCTGGCTTGCTAACATCTTTTAGCCGCACAGCTAGGTAACAGAAAAGCAAAACTCTTTAATATTCCAAATTTTTCCTCCTGACCACACAGTGCTTTATGCCATTTTTAATTGCCACTGAAATTAGTCGCTTACAGATTTCTCCCTTGCAGTTCAGCCTCCTCCCTGTACCTTTTTGACCTTAGCCCTTCTGTGACCCCTTTTCCTAATCATTTTCCTACTGTGACCTCTCAAATTCCTTTGGTGCAATCATAAAAATTTACCTCTGCATTCCCAACTTGTACCCAGCACCCTTTTGACTCCATTTTGTACCCAGAGTCCTCTGGAGATCGTCTTTTGAACCTCTCAGAAAGCAGCAGTGGGGCTGGGGATTTAGCTCAGTGGCATAAGCGCCTGCCTTGCAAGCAAGCAGTTGTGAGTTCGATCTCTGGTACCAATAAAAAGGAAAAAGACAAAAAAAAAAAAAAAAAAAAAAAAAAGCAGCAGTGGATAGGCTCACATCCAGCTGTAGATTAACTGTT